CTGCCTGCTAATCTTTGAAGAACTGCCAAACAAGGTTGTTTTGACTTTGCACATAAACAAAATAAAGCCCACAAAAAGTGGCACAGCCACATCGTTTTATGTGTGAGGAGTGTAAAACACTATTGTGTATTGAAACCATGGTTTCAAAGAGTTCCACAACTGCGAACTTCTAGACATGTCCAGTGACTGTACATTTGTAAATACTGTATATTATAAAACAATAGTAATAACCTAAGTAGGTTGGGTAAACAGCAACCGCCCAGGGAGTACTATCGCGTCCCTGCCAAGTGAGTGTAAAATGAAAACCTGGTATATTGTTTTACATGATGGGTAGGATTTTGCTGGTGTCTTTTGTCTGTCTCAAAACATGCAAGATTTCAGGTAGTCTTGCCATTATTTCTACTTGCACTTAGGTCACACTACACATACATGTACAAGCATATAATACACACCCCTTCTGGGTATTCTTTTAATTTTCTTTCAGTTCTGTTCTGTTTAATTTCCTCTATCCCATGGGAAAGTGGAACCGAATTCTTCCTGCGTAAGCCCATGAGTGTGTAAAGGCGACTAAAATGCCGGGAGCAAGGGGCTAGTAACCCCTTTTCCCGTATAAATTACTAATTTAAAAGAGAAAACTTTCATTTTCTTTTTGGGCCACCCTGCCTTGGTGGGATATGGCCGGTGTGTTGAAAGAAAAAAAGAAAGTAATAAACAAATTTTTGTATTTTTTTTTGTGTATAACAAGTGTTGTAACCAATATATTGATAATTGTTGATTGTGCACTTACTGTGTTTGTATACAACTGTGTATATATTACAGTGGTCCCTCTGTTATCGTATTTAATCCGTTCTGGAGGTGCTACTACAGTGGACCCCCGGTTTAACGAACTTTTTCATTCCCAGTAGTATGTTCAGGTGCCAGTACAGACCGAATTTTATCCCATAAGGAATATTGTGAAGTAGATTTAAAGTCCCATTTCAGACCCCCAAACATACACGTACAAACGTAAACACTTACATAAATACACCTTACATAATTGGTCGCCATTTGGAGGTGATCGTTAAGCGGGGGGTCACTGTATTATTGAAATCTACAATTTTCAAATTCAATTTTCCCCCATATAAGAAAATAATGTAAATACAATTATTCCGTTCCCTGACACGCCAGAAGTATTACAAACAAAAAAAAATTTTTACATGAAATAGATTTTTTTTTTTTCAACAAGTCGGGGCCGTCTCCCACGCACCGAGGCAGGGTGACCCAAAAATGAAAGAAATCCCCCAAAAGAAAATACTTTCATCATCATTCAACACTTTCACCACACTCACACATTATCCACTGTTTTTTTGCAGAGGTGCTCAGAATACAACAGGTTCAGAGCATAACGTATAAAATAACACAACATATCCCTCCAAACTGCCATATCCCAAACCCCTAAATCTTTAAAGTGCAGGCATTGTACTTCCCATTTCCAGGACTCAAGTCCGACTATATGAAAATAACCGGTTTCCCTGACATCCCTTCACTAAATATTATCCTGTCTCAACTCTCTCCAACAGAAATCGTCAGGTCTCCAAGTATCTTCGTCTCCCATTAACTCTCTATCTAACACGCTCATGCATGCTTGCTGGAAGTCCAAGCTCCTCGCCCACAAAACATCCTTACCCCCTCTTTCTCCAACCCTTTTCGAGACGACCCCTACCCCTCCTATCCTTCCCCTATAGATTTATATGCTTTCCATGTCATTCTACTTTGATCCATTCTCTCAAATGACCAAGACCACCTCAACAACTCCTTCTGCCTCTGACTAATGCTTTTATTAACCCACACCTTCTCCTAATTTCCACACTCCGAATTTTCTGCATAATATTTACACCACACATTGCCCTTAGACAGTAAACAATGGTAAACAATGCCTTAGTACATAAACAATACAATGGGAACATGATGAAGAAAACATAACAGCATAACACTTACCTTTATTGGCAATTCTTCTTAGTGTATTGGAGACTGGAGGAGGAGAGAGATTGAGACTATTTACCAGTTTAGAGGGAATCCCCTTCACAACACCTCAGTACCAATTGCTTTTCTGGGTTACGTACTTCTCTTCTCTGTTTTCTTAATTCCACCAGGAAAACCAGCTCAGAGTCACTGGAGTCCTGTCTTCCGCAAAAAATAACTGCCAGAGAGCTCTGTTTCTGGCGTCTCTTTCAAACCACTTTCATATTGTTCAAATGATGTTTTTCTTAAATTCAATCGTATTTCTCATTTCTTTACCAAAGGCTTGGCACTAGGAGGAAGCTTTCTTTGGAGCATGGTAATTATTTAGTACTTTTTTTTTTTTTTTTTCAACAAGTCGGCCGTCTCCCACGAGGCAGGGGACCCAAAAAAGAAAAGAAAAATCCCCAAAAAGAAAAATACTTACAATCATCATTCAACAACTTTCACCCCACTCGCTACATTAAAAATCACTGTTTTTGCAGAGTGCTCAAAACAACAGTCTAGAAGCATACACATATAAAATAACACAACAATCCCTCCAACTGCCAATATCCCAAACCCCTCCTTTAAAGTGCAGGCATTGTACTTCCCATTTCCAGACTCAAGTCCGACTATATGAAAAAAACACGGTTCCCTGAATCCCTTCACTAAATATTACCCAGCCTCACACTCCAACAATCGTCAGGTCCCAAGTACCATTCGTCTCCATTCACTCCTATCCTAACACGCTCACGCAACGCTTGCTGGAAGTCAAGCCCCTTACCCCACAAAACCTCCTTTACCACCCCCCTCTCTCAACCCTTTCGAGGACGACCCCTACCCCCGCCTTCCTTCCCCTATAGATTTTATCTTTCCATGTCATTCTACTTTGATCCATCTCTCTAAATGACCAAACCACCCTCAACAACCCCTCTTCTGCCCTCTGACTAATACTTTTATTAACTCCCTCCACCCTTCTCCCTAATTTCCACACCTCCGAATTTTCTGCATAATATTACCCACACATTGCCTTAAACAGACATCTCCACGCCTCCAACCGTCTCCTCCGCTGTCCTGCATTTACCACCCAACTTTCACTCATATAAGAGTGTTGTAACTACTATACTTTCATACATTCCCTTCTTTGCCTCCATAGATAGACGTTTTTGACTCCACATATACCTCAACGCACCACTCACCTTTTTTCCCCATCAATTCTATGATTAACCTCATCCTTCATAAATCCATATCCCGCGACACGTCAACTCCCAAGTATCTGAAAACATTCACTTCTTTCCATACTCCTCCTCCCCAATTTGATATCCAATTTTTCTTTATCTTAAATCATTTGCCACCCTCATCACCTTACCTCTTTTCCTATGGTCACTTTCAACTTTCACTTACAACAGCATTCCAAATCATTCCACTAACCTTTGCAATTTTTTCTTAGAATCTCCCCAAAGCACGTATCATCAACAAAAAGTAACTGTGTCAATTCCCCATTTTCTGAATTTGATTCCCCATAATTTAATCCCACCCCTCTCCCCAAACACCCTAGCATTTCTTCCTTTACAACTCCATCTATAATTATATTAACAACCCTGGTGACATTACACATCCCTGTCTAAGACCTACTTTTACCGGGAAGAAGTCTACCTCTCTTCTACACACCCTAACTTGGCCTCACTATCCTATAAAAACTCTTTACAGCATTTAATAACTTACCATCCTATTCCATATACTTGCAACATCTGCCACATTGCTCCTCTATCCACTCTTATCCATTTGCCTTTTTCTAAATCCATAAATGCAATAAAAACTTTCCCTATCTTTATAATCTAAAAGACTTGTTCACATATATGCCTTCAAAGTAAACACTGATCTACCCATACATCCCCTACCCAACTCTAAAACCTCCTTGCTCATCCCGCAATCCTCATTCTGTCTTACCTCTAATCTATTAATTATAACCAGTACCTACACTTTTCCTGTATACTCGTAGCTTATTCCTCTATATTTACATCTCTTTTGTCCCCTTTTCCCTTTATATAAAGGGACTATACATGCTCATTCTGCATCCCTATACCTCCCCTTTCATAATTTTATTAACAAAAGTTACCAACCAACTCCAACACTATATCCCCCCTGCTTTTAAAACATTTCTTGGGCAAGCACTAAAATAAATGGAATATTATGAAATATTTCGTAGGAGCAAGAGAGGGGCATTTGCCCTGGTAAACAATCCACACTGGCTGGGAAGGAGGCCACCCCGGCTCACAGTGTGTGTACGCATCCCGGACGAGCTACTATTCGTGACAAACTACGGATTAGCGAGCCCATGTTTATACGAAACTATCGCTATGATTTCCGAAATCTAACGACTCTTGAGCCTACGATTATTGAGGGGGGACCACTGTAATTGCACCTTACTTTGGACTCACAGGCCACAAAAGTTTATGTGAAAAAATAAAATAGTGGAAAAAAAAAAAAATCAAGACACCGTCAACTACAAGTAAGCCAAAGTTTATCGGGTGAGCGGCATCACCACTGTTGCCATATGTGGCTCATTTTTCTGCCAACTTCAACACCTCTATATTGGTAAGTACTGATGGCAAAAAAATTTTTTTTTTTGGACTAAAACAATCCGAAAAATCTAACATTTTCATAAGGTTTTTTTTCTTTTTTAAATATTTTTCGAAACACCAGGCAGGAGACACTTCTGATTTGGGGTTTTCGACAGTCAAGGGGTTAATTACAACCCAAAAAAAAAAAAAAAAAAAAAAAAAAAAAAAAAAAAAAAAAAAAAAAAAAAAAAAAAAAAAAAAAAAAAAAAAAATACGGGTTTAATATAGATTATCAATACTGTACTAATAAAATATAGAGACAGTTTTTTTAAAAAAGCACTTACTTTCATAATGCTTAGTTGGCTTTGCTTTTTCCTGTAATCTGGAACCACCAAGATGAATTGTAAATCAACAAGATTTTGGCTGGCACAGCATCGAGGAGCCTGCTCACTACACTCCATTTTTAAATCCACCCAGAGGACAGTATTTGCCAGTCACACCTGTTATAAACTCCTCAGCACACACATCAACCTGTAAATATCATACTATACACAACTCCATTTTTATATATCTATTACACTTAGTTAAATTATTATGGTTTCTTAATACACTGCTAATTTATGTCATGCAATGCTTAATAAATATCTACATAGTAGTAGTTGGTAGAAACAGCAACCACCCAGGGAAGTATCTACCGTCCTGGCCAGATGACTGTGAAACAAAAACCTGTAATTGTTTTGCATGATGGTAGGATTGCTGGTTTCTTTTTCTGTCTCATAAACACGCTAAGATAACAGGGATATCTTGCTACTCCTACTAACACTTTGGTCACACTTCACAACACGCACATGCCAATTATATATATACTCAACTAGGTTTTTTTCTCCTTTTTCTAAATAGCTCTCTCAGTTCTTTTTTATTTCTTTCATCTATTGTCCATGGAAGTGGAAAAGAATCTTTCCTCCGTAAAGCCAAGCTGTCGAATGAGGCGACTAAAATGCCGGGAGCAATGGCTAGTAACCCCTCTCCTGTAATCAATTACTAAAAAAAGAAGAAAGAAAAACTTTATAAAACTGGGTTGCTTAAATGTGCGTGGATGTAGTGCCGGATGACAAGAAACAGATGATTGCTGATGTTATGAATGAAAAGAAGTTGTATGACCTGGCCCCTAAGCGAAACAAAGCTGAAGGGGGTAGGAGAGTTTCAGTGGGGGGAAATAAATGGAAGTTAAATCTGGATTATCTGAGAGAGTTAGAGCAAAAGGAAGGGGTAGCATAATGTTAAATGATCAGTTATGGAAGGAGAATAAGAGAATATGACTGTGTAAATTCTAGAATTAGTGATTAAAGTAAAGGTTGGATGCGAGAAGTGGGTCTAATAAGCGTGTATCACCTGGAGAAGAGAGGAATGCAGAGAGAGAGAGAGATTTTGGGAGATGTTTAAGTGAATGTATAGGAGCCTTTGAACCCAGTGAGAGAGTAATTGTGGTAGGGGAATTGAATGCTAAAGTAGTAGAACTTTAAGAGAGGGTGTGGTTAGGTAAGTTTGGGGTGCCAGGTGTAAATGATAATGAGCCCTTTGATTGAACTTGTATAGAAAAGGGATTTAGTTATAGGTAATACATATTTTAAGAAAAAGAGGATAAATAAGTATACACGATATGATGTAGGGCGAAATGACAGTAAGTTTGTTGGAAATGTATTGGTAGATAAAAGACAGTTGAGTAACTTCAGGATGTACAAGTTTATAGAGGGGCCACAGATAATATCAGATCACTTTCTAGTTGTTAGCTACACTGAGAGTAAAAGGTAGATGGGATACAAGGAGAATAGAACATCAGGGAAGAGAGAGGTGAAGTTTTTATCAACTAAAAGAGGAGGCAGTTGGGGTAGAATATAAACAGCAATTGGAGGATTGATGGGCTTAATGAGAGCATAGGGCAATGGGGTCGAAGAGGTATGTGGTAGGTTTAAAAATGATGTAAGAGTGTTTCAGCAGAAGTTTTGTGGTTACAGGAAAGTGGGTGCAGGAGTGATGAGAGCGATTGGTGGAATATGATGTTAAGAGAGTAGTAAGGGAGAAAAAGTTAGCATATGACAGAAGTTTTTACAAAGAGAAGTGATGCAAGGAGGGAAGAGTATATGGAAAAAAGAGAGAGGGTTAAGAAGAGATTGGTGAAGCAATGTAAAAAGAGAGCAAATGAAGAGGTGGGTTGAGATGTTTATCAACAAATTTTGTTGAAATAAGAAAAAGTTTTTTGAGTGAGATAAACAAGTTTAAAGATAAGCCTTAGAGAACAAATGGATTTGTCAGTTAAAAATAGGAGAGGAGAGTTATTAAATGGAGAGTTTTAGAGTAATTGGGAAGAAAGGAAGGAATATTTTGAGGATTGTTAAATGTTAGATGAAGATAGGGAAGCTGTGATTTCGTGTATAAGGGCAAGGAGGAATAACAATCTTGTAGAGTAGGAAGAGCCAGTTGTGAGTGGGGGAATTCGTGTGGCAGTAGTAAAATGAAAGGGGGTAAGGCAGCCGGGATTGATGGATAAAGATAGAAAAGTTAAAAGCCAGGTGGGGATATAGTTTGGAGTGGTTGGTGCATTGTTTAATAATGTATGGAAGATGGTAAGGAACCTAGGGATTGGCAGAGAGCATGCAATAGTTCCTTTGTATAGAAGGCAAAGGGGAATAAAAGAGAGTGCAAAAAATATAGGGGGAAAAGTCTGATGAGTGTACCTGGTAAAGTGTATGTAGAGTATAATTAGAAAGAATTAAGAGTAAAGACGGAGAATAGGATTAGCAGATGAACAAGGAGGGCTTTAGGAAAGGTAGGGGGTGTGTGACCAGGTGTTACAGTGAAACATATAAGTGAACAGTATTTAGATAAGGCTAAAGATGTCTTTGTGCATTTATGGATTTTGGAAAGGCGTATTGAACAGGGTGGATAGTTGGGGGGGCAATGTGGCAGATGTTTGCAAGTGTATTGGAGTAGGAGGTAGGTTACTGAAATCAGTGAGAGTTTTACGAGGAATAGTAGGCTCCAAAGTTAGAGTAAGTAGGAAAGAGGGAAATTTTTTTTCCCAGTAAAAGTAGGCCTTAGACAAGGATGTGTATGTCCACCGTGGTTGTTTAATATATTTAAGATGGGTTGTAAGAGAAGTAAATGCGAGGGTCTTGGCCCAAGAGGCGTGGAGTTAAAAGATAAAGAATCACACACAAAGGGGGAGTTGTCACAAGCTGCTTCTTTAGCTGATGACACTGTGCTCTTGGAGTTCTGAAGAGAAGTTTACAGAGATTGGTGGATGAATTTGGTAGGGTGTGCAATAGAAGAAAATAAAAAGGTGGAATACAGGAAAGAGTAAGGTTATGAGGTTAACAAAAAGATTAGGTGATGAAAGATTGAATATTCAGATTGGAGGGAGAGAGTATGTAGGAGGTGAACGGATTCAGATATTTGGGAGTGGACGTGTCAGCGGATGGTCTATGAAAATGGGTAATCATAGAATTGATGAGGGAAAAAGAGTGAGTGGTGCACTTAGGAGTCGTGAGACAAAGAACTTTGTCTTGGAGGCAAACGGGGAAGGTATGAGAGGTAAGTTTTACCAACGCTCTTATATGGGTGTGAAGCCGTTGGTGATGAATGTGCAGCGAGGAGAAGCTGGAGGCATGTGGAGATGTTCATGTCTAGGCAATGTGTTGGTGTGAATATAATGTCAGAGAATACGAGATTGGAAGTTGGAGGAGTGCGGGATACCAAAAAACTGTTTGTCCAGAGGGATGAGGAAGGGTTGTTGTAGGTGGGTTCGACATGTAGAGAGAATGGAGCGAAACCAGAATGACTTCAAAGAGTGTATCCAGTCTGTAGTGGAAGGAAAGGGCGGGTAGGGGTCGGCCTAGGAAGGGTTGGAGGGGGGGGCAAAGTAGGTTTTGTGAGCGAGGGGCTTGGACTTCCAGCGGCATGCTTGAGCGTGTTTTGATAGGAGTGAATGGAACAAATGGTTTTTAAATACTGACGTGCTGTTGGAGTGTGAGCAAAGTAACATTTTATGAAGGGATTCGGAAACCGGCAGGCCGGAACTTGAGCTCTGGAGATGGGAAGTACAGTGCCTGCACTCTGAAGGAGGGGTGTTAAATGTTGCAGTTTAAAAACTGTATGTAAAGCACCCTTCCTGGCGAAGACAGTGAAGGAGTTAATGATGGTGAAAGAGTATTCTTTTTTCGGTGCCACCCTGCCTTGGTGGAGGGAATTCGGCCGTGTGATAATACATAAAAAAATATAACTATTTAAAAAATAAAATTACACAAATTAAAGAAATATTATTTTTTTTACAAATTGGCAAAAACCATAATCTACCAAGATATGTGGGAGTCACACTCAACTTTTTTGTTTACCTCGTTCCATTAGAAGACTTTAATACAACACCAAAAAATTTTTCATTTCTGAATCTTTTCCAACTCCAGCTTAAATTATACACCCCAACTACACGATATGAGCACCATACATAAACAACTCATTACATATATCAAACACTGCTAATAGTACCCCAAACTCCAGTTTTCTCTTTGCAGCTGAAGAGATAAAACAAGAAAATCATCAGTTTAACAGGATTTACCTAAGACACATAATCAGTGAAGAACTGTAGGCCATTATCAAGAAAATACAAATGAAAAATTTTAATTAAGTAACTGAAGTTTTTATGACAGAAGGTATTGAAAATACTCACAAGGGGGGTGAATAACAGTGTCCTGACCTTGCCCATGTGAAGCTACCAAGTGAAAAATAAATTAGCTTCATTTATTACAATAATATCAATCAATGCTCACGAAGCTACTCAAACCCCGAACAATCCACATGGACATCCTGCACATAGCCAGACACCCAGCACCTTCCCACCCAACCCCCCAACCCAATCCCACCCCATCAGAACCAATTCACTAATATCCCTCTCACCCCCTCCACCCCCCTCCCCCGCCCCCCACACACTTCCCCAACCCCCATACCGCCACGCTGTGTATGGTTTGTATCATACATGTGCGGTCCATATCACTATTCTGTCGATTGTTATTCTCAACGTTTTTGCAGCCCCAATTATTAAGTCTGATGTTTGGATTTGTGACGTGTAGTGGGTGGGGGCAAAAAGTTCCACCCAACAGGCCCCCCCACCCAGCCCACCACACTCCCATGCATCCCCCAACAATCCAAACCCCCCACCCCATACTACCCCGCACAACAAACCTCCCTTCACCACCCCTACCCCACCGACCCAGACGACCCCCCCCCCAGTATTAACTCCCTACCCCAATCGCCCGACCCCGGGGGATGTGTTTATGGGGCCCAATCCACACCCCCCCCGCGCTCCCACATCCACACACACAACCCCACATCCCACCATCCCACTACCGCCTCAATCCACATCTGCTACCCCACACTCCCCATACAATAGTTACCCCCCCCCACTCCAGATAAGAACCACCAAATCACCCCACGCTACAAACTCACACTGACTACCCAACGCCTAAACCATTCATGTC